CACCTCTAGTAATATATTTACTGAGAAAAATGGTGACGTGTTCAAMACTTATTTTACCCACTGTAAATAGAGGCGTGTCAGGGTGGGTGTCTCACCTGGCCTCAGTTCCACATTGATTGTGATGTATAAAGGAAACAGGCATCGATGTGCATGATTTCATACATTTGTATTTTTTATGTGTACGCTGTTTTGTTGATTTGACCGTATGCCACATTTAAGCAAGAAGTCCATGCAAGACTTTGTACCTGAGGCCCCAGATCTATTGTGACCCAGAAAGGAGAAAGCAGGTTAAATAATGAAAGTATGGGTTTTACAATCAACAAAGAATCACAGTGGTTCTCAAAATGATGATTTGAGCATTTTAGAAAACAGTTATAATCTTTGGAAAGTTGAGGCCCTAAATTAAACCGTCAGTTGAATGGTCTGTTCAAGTGATGCATTTTTGAATAAAAACACATTTAAAAACATCTGGGTTGCAGATGTTCAACAGATCTTGAGGCATCTGACTATTCTGCTGTACAACTACACCTGCACAAATCCCACACATTTAACCTTTTTATCTCTTTACTACAAAATTCAGAGAAATTTATGAACAGAAATTTAAAGAACCATGAAGAAGCATTACTGATGGTAAAATGGTAAACTCTGAAGATGATTAAATCCTCAGGGTGATGGGCTGCATCATTAAGCATGGACAACATATTTATGGAAGGACTAGAATAGAATAGAATAGAATAGAATAGAATAGAGGATTAAAACCAGATCAAATTAAAAAAATGAAAGAAATGTAGCATTTTTACAACATTGTGTTGATGCTGAACACACTACTAAATGTTATATTTGAACTCAAGAATGTTCCAGATAACCACACATTTCTTAATATTGTAGTTCTTAAAAACATTTTTATAACAATTACACAAAATATATTAAGCACCCAGATGGAGTGGTTTAAGTAAAATTATATTAAACAAACCACGTTTTGAAATATCATGTGAGTTCAGTGCAATGACCACAGTCTCACATCAGGTAGATTAAAGAGCTGGAAGTCAGTGACAGTGTAGTGTAAAGGGCTCGACACACGGGGAGCGATAAACTACAGCGATTAACGGCTGTCATCGCAGCCAGGGTGAAACCCGACACACGGGACGCGATAGCGATCGCAGCGTTGTGAATCGCGCTCTCAGATCGCTTGTGTTCACAAAATTTGATTGGTTCTTGACTCTGAAGGCGGGTGTGCATTACGGACGTGTAAACTAAACAAATCTTGCGATGCTAATGATATTAAAAAACAAACACACATCAAGATACAGTTTTATGGAGGAAAAACACCATAAGCTTCACCCTGGTGCCAATAAATTCCCACAAAGCTTTTTAGTAATCACTTGGTGAAAGTGTTAGCTAACGGCAGTGTGTAGCATACTCTCCTCTCATTGGTCAGTCAATGAAACCCTCGCTGATTGGTTGTACGCTAAGCGACAGCGACAAAAGTTGAACATTTTTCAACTTTCATATGTTGCGTCGCATGCTTGTGTGTGCACGTCTACGTGTACGAGCGCGAAATTTCACATGCACTATTTTCGCCGGTCGCTTAGCTGGAGGAGGGCAAGCGATTGTCGCTTCACCGCACAGGCTCCATAGGAAATGAATGGAGAGCGAGCGACGTTGCCTCCCGTGTGTCGAGCCCTTTACACATTTATGGACCATGCAGAAGGAAATCTTACAGCCTTTGTTTCCTTTCTAACAACAAGTCAACTAACAGATGCTGGATTTGGATCTTGAGATCCAGCTCCCACATGCTCAATTAAGAAAAGAAATGTGAGACCCAAATGGTCAGTTGCATGATGAGCCCATCCAGTTCCACAATGTGACCTTTATTAAACTAAATCACTTAATCAAGTGCTGGTAATGATGTGTCTACAAGGCCAGCAGGTGATCTTCACTCAGTGTTTTAATGTACTCATCACAAAGTATGAAACCAATCACAAAAAACAGTTATCCTGAAATGTAGATCCAAACTAAATAAACTAAATTAAATAAACAAAGGACTTGTCTGAATTCTGGCCAAAATCCTGTAGAAGCTTGTGTCACATGATTAACCTACACTTTGCTGTACAAATGTTCTGTAAGTATAACATTTGACCTACAGTATTTTCATTGGTTTTGGCTGTTTCCGTAGGTAACAAACCCTTGTTAGCTCACATCTGGTCATACATTTTACTTATAGATTTAGTTTTATATGATTCTTTTTGACCAGTCTTTATTACTTCGCATTGAGTAAATCTGACTGTCAAACACACTGGCAACTGTATGTTAAACACTGTCACTTCACTGTACTCATATACACCCATTACAGGTCATACATTACGTCCATGTCAAAACCATTTCTTCTGAGCGCTTCACTTTTTTTGTCTGAGTGTAGTTTGTCTACTACCTCAAAGCCAAAGAGAATTTTATCATCAGTTTTCTTTGTTGCTGTGTTCTGCACTGATAGATGTGATTAAAAAAACTCAATAATCAATTTTGCTGTTCACTTGACCCCAGTCTGATGTGTCTGTCTACTAGCAGAGATGAAGCCAACAATAGGTAACCTCACCATCTCGGACATTTCTTGGGACGGGTTCACTGCATCCTGGAGCCCCACAGCAGGCGGGGACTTTGACAGTTTTGTCATTGAGGTAACAAACATGGAGAATTTTGTGGAGAGCCAAAACCTCACTTTGTCTGGAGACGCTTTGAGCCTGGGTATCTCTGGCCTGAACCCCAACACCAGCTACATGGTTGGCCTGTATGGGATGCATCAGGGCTCCGTCCTTGAGCCCCTGTACATTGAAGCCACCACAGGTACCTGCCTGCAACTTTTTTTAGTTGCAGTTCAACTTTTTGTCTTTCCCATCAATCCTTTAATCTTTCTATGTGACTCAACACACAGCGTGCCTACCTGGCTGCATGAAACAAGATCAAGATAATAAACAAGTTTCCATTTCTGGCTTAACTGTTCGACATCAAAAACCTCAGTGCATCATACTTCTGCATCCTAACCAACATTTTACCTAATTCCAACCTCCAGCCACTGTTTCTATTTCATTGAGAGAGGTCCAAGTGATGGGCACCAGAGCTTCATCACTGAACCAAACATTCATCCTTACTGCTCGCCCCACTCCAGTTAGCGAAGTGCATGGAGCCCCTCCCTTTCTACCATCCTTGCATCGTGGTCAGATCTGATGCTGATGTGCTGCAATGATTGCAAAAGCAAAACCAATATTTTTCACCCTCCCCGACCTGTTTTACTGCAACAGCGTGACCCATCTCATTTCATTTATCATTCTTTATTCAGTGTGTAATCGATTAACCTTGAGCAATCATTTGCCCACAAGCGATCACAGCATGCATGGAGTAGTCATGTCAGCTGTGAGTCTGTGAGTTTGTGACAGTGAGCGCAAGATAGTTGGTTATTTTTGCAGAAAACCAAAATGAATATCCTGATTTCCTTTTGAAATATTAGGTGGCAAATGATTAAATATTCTTGTCATTATCAAGGTAATATGCTCATAATGTCATTTGACGTTAATCTGACTTCTCTACACATTCTCACTCCCAACTCGTCACATATTGTCGTTTAAGGTAAGGTTCCCTCTGCGTCTTATTTGGACGCAGAAGGTACCCCCCTCGCGTCACTCCTTGACGCCCACGGCTTTTCCGGGTTGCGCCACCAGGGGGCTTTGGGGCGGGTGTCTGAGGTTAACATGAGGGATCGGGTTTAATGGTTAAGTTTAGGTACTGGGATCAGGGGTAGGATGTCCATGGTGAATATTAGGTCATTTTACGCTTTAGAACATGTTCACCTGAATTTCGTACATTTTCTAAAAATGGTTAATTTTACCTACTAGGGTCAGGGACAGGATGTCTAAAGTGAACTAAGGTAATTTCAGGCTTTGGAACGGTCGTTTTTGCGCATTTCATACACTTTCTGAACTTATGACAACAGCTTCCGCCCCATCTCGTCAGTAACTGACGTGAGGGGGGTACCCCGCGCGTCAAAATCGGACGTAGAGGGAACCTTGCAAAACGTCAATATGTGACGAGTTGGGAGTGAGAATGGGTTGGACTTCTACCGTGTTTTTACATGCATGTTTGCATGTAAAGGCTTTAATGTCTTGTTGCATGTAAAATGGTTTTGGGTTTTTAGTGGGTTATACTTCACATTAGTTGTCAAGCTGCATCTCATTATTTTCTGATGAACTGCATGATGAAATAGCTCTCAGCATGGATGAAACTTTTCTCAGTCACATTTTCATTGGTAAGAAGAAAATTTAATTCATGTGAACTTGTTGGGCAGTAGAGTCCAGCAGTTTACATAAAAAAAAAACTTTTTGAGTATCTTCCCTTGGCAGTTATTGATTAAGATATTTTAATATTACAAATGTTTGTTTTTAATTTAGGCTGCAGTATACAGTAACTTATGTTGCAAATTTTGTCTGTGCTTTTTTATGCGTAAATTTGAGCATGTTTTAAACTCTTATTAAGCTATTAATTTGGTCAGTGATAAATATTTAACCATTGATTTCTTTCTTCAGTGACTCAACCTGTGCTTGGAAAACTTTATGTTTCAAACGTAACATTTGAAAGCTTTACAATCCACTGGAATGAAACGGAAAGAGAGTATGACGGTTTTATCCTGGAGATTATTGACTCTGATTGGCTGAAGGAGCCAAAGGAATATAACATATCCCATAATGTAACGTCTCTTGATGTCTCGGGTCTCAGGCCCAGCACTCATTACATAGCCTACCTCTATGGGACGTACAAGGGATCTCGAACAAGTGCTGTCAGTATTGTTGCATCAACAGGTATTTTGACTTTATGTGCATTAGATTATTCATCTCATAAAAAACTTGGGTTATTTTGTTTAACGTCCCCGATTCCGAACAAGTGAGAAAGCTGTAAAAAGCGTAAAAAAATTTTTTTTTAAATGCAGAACTCTGACAATCTCAAAAACTCAAACTGTATTTGTTATGGAACATAGTAAATACAGTATATCACATATTTAATCAAAGAAATTGTAATTTTTTGTGTAAAAAATGTTATATTTTGTTTGACAGTGGAAATACATTTCAAAAATAAGACTAGTTGCTAAAGGATTATTTGCAGCATTTTACAACAACAACTGCTAATAAT